GAGGGTTTGGTCTGCTTGTGACTGTGGAGTGCAGCCCCGAAAGGGTTTGCAGGGCAAACTTCTTGGTCAAAGTTCCTCCCAGATGTCACCAGTAGTCCTCCTTCTCGTCTGATTTGAGCCTCTCTCCTGAGCTTCTTCACCTCCCGTCTCTCTCTGCGCCTCTCTGGCCACTTCTTACTCCCGCTCGCCCGGCCACATGCCTCCTGCCTCCCCCCCTGGACCGGCTGATTCTCCTCACTGCTCTTGCCTGTTGCTTCAGACACGGGCTGCTGGTCTGAGAGGGGCAGGGGTCCAGCGCTCAAAAGTCCTGAAAACAAGGCAATGACAAAGTTGAAGAATAAGTTAAAAGATTATGTTCTTTGCCTCCCAACAAATATATATTATTTTATATAAATGATAGGTTAAATGTAATTCAAGAGGATTTGCTTACCAAGACAAACTCACAGCAAATTATGAATTGGCTCTTCAGCTCTATGGAGCTTTTTTCAGCTCTTTGTGTTTGTTACAAAATGGTAGCTAAACAGCCAGGAATTCAGTGTCTGATGTACTCAGTTTGTATAGCTAAAACATACACTTTCTAATACATCAGTCCTGCAGTCAATTCTATTTTTATCAAAGTTATCATAATGAAACTTAATCTGTTGATTTAACAGTATAATCAATTTGCATATATGCATTTATATAACGTTAAATGATCACAGATAAACATACAGAATTATATGTGATTGTTTACATTATTGAATGTATAACAATTATTTTGTTACCTTTGGCTCTTTTCTGCTTCCTGGTATGAAGTTGGAGGACATCCTTCATGGTGTCATAGTGGCAAACATAGGGCAGGGAAGGAAAAGTCCCACTGATCATCCTCCTTTTAGCGCATTCCTGATTACAAAGAGTAGAGTATATACAATTGAAAGTAAGAATAGCAAGTACAGTAAAGTCCAAGACAAAAAACATACGAAAGCAGAGAGAAACAACAGAATGAACAGGAAGGCAGGGATACAATTTCAAAGCAGGCAAGAAGGAACGGATAGGTGGTAAAAGTAAGAACATTATTATTTGAATTGGCCACTCACATAACCATAATGTCCCCTCATGGAGCAGTTGTAACAGAAAGCGGGGCATTTCTTATGTTTGAGGGTGTGAACTGTCCATGGCCTGACAGGAAGCTCTAACCGGATCTGGAAGAAAAGCAAATAAAGAACATTTTTAAAAGTGGAAAAAAAAAGACATTAGTTGATTTAACAATAAACACCCAAGCATTCAAGTCCTATAGTTTCAACAGCCTAATAAAAGCATGATTATGATGATCCTCTACCACCTACTCCCTGTTTAAGTTATTTATAATTCTTGTTTAAAGTAGTGTAATCCATCTTGTTTTAGTATAGAAGGCCAGATGAAGAAAAACATGCATTGAAGTATAAACTTCAACTCACTGTCAGGTGGTTTTGTCTCCATGTATCAGGGCAGACCTTGGGAAACCAAGAAAACAAAAGAGAAAATTACACCTTTGAGGAAGAATGCAGAAAGATGCATTTTGCAGCTGAGGATCTGCAGAGGTCAAATAACACTTTGTAAAAGAGGCCCACACACACCTGAGGCTACAGATTATCAACACACAATGGACAAATCCTTTCAAAGTTTCCTTCAACACAGAAACTCACCAACCAAGCCTTCTGCAGGTTTCAACAAGATACATTTTAGACATTTTCAAACCACATAGAATTACATTTAATACCCGTTTGTAATGTATTGTGACTCATTTCATCAATACACATTTCCCTTAAAGGTGGGGTAGGTAATTTTGGAGAAACCAGCTCGAGATCGCTAGAATTTGAAAATACACAGCCGGAAAAAATCTGCCACTTCCTTACAGAGCCCCTCCTCCAACACACACGAACGCGCACATGACCAATGAGGGCACGAGATAAGTTTGTGCACAGATGGAAGGCTGACAGGCAGGTAGGCCATCCAGTTATTTTAGCCGGGCCGGCTAAAATGATTGGTCGTGCTTTTTACAGTACTACGGCTTCCACAGATGACATTTTTTAATGGATTTTTTGTCAAAGCACTTAAGATATTCATTGCTATCGGGATGTTAAGAGCATTCCATGGAATATAACAAAAAGTGTATCTCGAGCCGGTTTCTCAAACTTACCTACCCCACCTTTAATACAGGCATAAATTAAAAATCAGTTCTAGAACTACTTTAAGCACATCAATTATTCCCATGTTTTCAGAAAATTGAATTAAGACTTTTAAGAACTGGTAGAGACCCTGACTAACAGATTTACAGGAGCCAGACCGGTGGGCTAACGGACAAACTCACATCAGAGAGGTGACCCGACGTCCCACAGCGCTGGCAGTGTTGGTTCCACAGCGGGGGCCTTTCACAGCGCCTGAGGCCATGGGAAGGGAGTCCACAGCTGGGGCAGGGGCGGCCAGGACAGTCCCTCTGGGTGTGGCCCTGGATCCCACAAAGGATACAGGTGGGACATTTCTGCTGACACAAAGACAAAATAAATATGGGTTTTAGGATCTTTTCAGTCAACAGGTCAACAATCAACAAGTGTCTCTGGTGCAATGTTTGGCAGTTTATAAGACAAAGAAACATTAAAGACTGGATAATCTAGTTGGTTTGACCAGAAATCATCAGAAACATACAGGGAAAATTGATTATATTAATATAAAACATCCATGTTTTGATATGTATTTCGACAGCATAATTTGGTTGAAGGACACAGCAATATTTTCAACGTTTGAGCAGACGCAGGGTAAGTGGTAGGATATCAGCTGAACTCCAACTCTTACCGACAGTATAAATGTTTATTATATGTACATAAATAAAAAAGGGTGGAAGAGTGTGTTTCTTTACCCTGTGGTAGTAGCAGCTTTTGGCAAGGTGTCCCGTCCTGTTGCAGATGTTACAGGTCAGAGCACGACCAGCTCCAAAATATCGACTGGGCAGAGACTGATCCGCCCCAGACTTGATAATGTGAGAGGACAAAAACATAACAGATCATGTTTAAAAAAGCAGTCTTGTAGAATCATAATACTGATTTCAAATGCAATATTACACCAGACAGGCAAACAGAAAAAATGTATTTCCTTCTTTCGCCACAGATTTCTATATTAACACCAAGAATGTATTCCTCCGAGATTATATTCACAGTTTATTCATTCTTAACAATTAATATAATTAAAACAGTGAAAAGTTGCATTTTAATATCCCAAGTTACCTTGTCTTTCTCTGACACAGCCCAGGTATCCTTCACTGATTTCACAGTGTGATCTATGAGCGAAAAATGAGCAAGAAGAACATCAACTTTTGTAGACGTAACTGTATTCCACAATTATTTATATTTAAATTCAAGCCGTTGTAAATACTATTGAAATAGGACAATGGACAGCATCACAATATTAACACAGCGTGAGATCAAGTATCCTAACCTTCAACTCCAGAGTCATCCTGTGGGCTGTTGCAGTAGCTCAGGTTGAGATGGATGCTTGAGTCTCCCACCTGCTCCTCTCCTCCCAGCATCATCCACTCCTCGACGGGCTGATCACTGTCCTTCTCCTCCTCCTCTTCCTCCTCCTGTACATTTAAACTGGAAGCAGGACTCTGGTTTCTGGGCTTCAGGGTCCGTCCAGAGGTGATGTTGAAGAGGATGAGGGGGGGAGAGCTCTCCCTGCTGATCCGTGCAGCTTGTTTACGGCTACTGTGTTGTTTCTGGCGACTGAACTTCATCTGTTGTTCTCCATCTGAACTATTGGAGTCCTCAATAAAGAAAAAGTCGTCTTTGCTGTCTTTACCACCATTATCTCCATTTCCCTGGCTGTAGTCCATAGTGCAACAACCTCAAAACAGCTGCTGAACAGCACCACCCACGGGCGGCTCTCTGCACTGCTACAAACAGCGGTGGATAAAGGCTCATTTACCACTTCCTTTTCTTAAAAACGAATTAGCACTTGGGAGAAGTCCAACTTATTGGTTGTGTTTCTTTACTACTAAGACATGTAATGGTGATTGCAGATTGTAATCATTCTAAATACACCGACACGTGGGTTAACATCAGACTAACCGGCGCTTTGCTAAAGTGAGCTAACATTAGCTCTGTTGTAGCCCAGGCAGCTAATGTAGCTAAGTTAGCGTTCAGAACCAAGTGAAATAAAATCTATAATGGCACTTCAAATGGCGCTTACCGTTTCAATACCTAACACGTCGCTTTCGAGTTCACACAATTGCACATATGGATATTTCTCTCCATACAAATGAAAGGGTTATGACGGTTATGACTTGCATTCTTGTTTACAATTTGTTGAAGCACTTTACCGGCGTTTCCGGAATGTAAAATGTTGGACAACCAAAACTGCCTACAGCGTTAGAAAAAAAACGGAGTTTGACTACAAGTTCCCTCGTAGTGTAGTATGTATCGCCTATGTATGTAATTTTTGTCTCCATTTATCAGAAAGTACTCTATTATTTATAGACAAAACAGTTATAAATCACTAAGTTGACGATGGCAGCTTGTTAAACAGTCGGCAAGCTATAATGTATTTGTCAGATATGTGGCGTTTTTCATACTTTACATGTATGCCTTCTTCTTAGTTACAGTTGACCACTAACGCTAAAATGTTTATTTTTTACAGCAGTTTTAAGGTGAATCGATAACTGTTAGACTGGTTGACCAAAAGACAAAAAAACTCAAATCTACAGTTAAGTCCTGATCACGAGAACTGACTGTAGTTCCTTCACTACAAAAAGCAAAAAGATAATGGAGCGCGTGCACCCTTGCGTGTGTGCCCAATCAAAGGCTCGTGCAGCTATCCACCGCTCAGGTGCTGAAGGCACAGAGTCCTTGCGCACCACAGACGAAAAACCACCGGGACAAACTTCTTATCTCAGATTTCTTTTCAAATGAGTGGGAAATGTCGTCCTCGAAAACAAATACACTTTAGTCCGAACAGTTTGTAGAAGTTAGGACTACAGTCAGTCTGTGATGGACGCGCGCTTTGGACAGGTGCCCCTCAACATTACCCACAGTGAGTAACAATTTTTCATATAAATTAAAGTTGCCTCCTGTAGTCAATCACCTAGGCGTATGGACCTTCTTTTATCCACTTAGCCTACGTTCAGTACATTAAGTTGTAATGCTGTGTGTAGCCATACGTTTTGATTGGTGTTTCTCCGAACCGTACCGGTGCTCAGGGCTCGGCGGGGTGAACCAGCTCGGCGGAGTGTTCATTAACGGCCGCCCGCTGCCGCACGCGGTGAGACAGCGGATCGTGGAGCTCGCTCTGCAGGGCGTGCGTCCCTGTGAGATCTCCCGCCGCCTGCGCGTCAGCCACGGCTGTGTCAGCAAAATACTGGCCAGGTAAACTCTTTGCGGTCAATAATATAGCCTTTTCAACATTGTATTAGCTAATAGGCTATATAAATAGTTATTTGTATTGAAGCAGATTGTGTGTGCCCTTAATGATGATAACCTATATTTATTTAACAATGCAATGTACACACCACTTAAATCTACATCATTTGGAAATGTTTCGTAATATGTTGAAACTGTATTTCATTTTTATTTGCATGCCTTATATGTGCCTATCCTCACATTTTTATTAAATTCAATATTTATATGTTTTTCAACCCAGTATGCATTTTTTAGAAATAATGATTTTTCATAAAAATGCATCTCAAGACTATCCATCTGTACTTTGAGCATACTGATTTCCTGTGCTTTATCTCACTTTATTTCAAATAGAAAAGTATAGATACATAAGTCACATCAGCGCCTGTATTTATGAAACTTTCTTCTCAGGTAAAATGTTTCCCCTGCTGACAGCTCATTATTGTGAGTTTAGGTACAATGAGACAGGCAGCATTAGACCAGGATTGATTGGAGGCTCTAAGCCCAAAGTGGCCACTCCCTGCGTTGTGCAAATGATCGTGCGTCTGAAACACACCAACCCCAGCATGTTCGCCTGGGAGATCCGAGACAAGCTGCTGCTGGAGCGAGTGTGCGACCATGACAGCGTGCCCAGCATCAGCTCCATCAACAGGTAACAGAAGACCTTATGTGTGCTTGACTACGCAGATCATCAGAACAAGAATTGAGTGAAGTCCCTCTGTCTTTACAGGATCATCAGAAACAAAGTCAACTCGGAGTCTTGTGAAGTTGGTAAGTCATTTGTGTCTTAGTAATCTTTTCTCTCTTAGCCTAACTTGTGCATCTCTGATGTTTCCTGACGATGACCTCTGACCCTGCAGTGTCATCAGCTTCATCTGTTTCCACGGGAACCGCCTATTCCTCTGAGTCCGCCTATTCCATCAGTGGGATTCTGGGAATCAGGAAGTGCAGCAAACACAAAGAAGGTAACAGCAGTGGTGTAAGAGTACATTTACTTGTGAGGTATTTTCATTTTAGAGGAAAATGTTGTTCATTTTATTCAACTAACTTTTTTTCATAACTTTTGTCAGATGTTATGTTGCAGATTTACAAAATAAAAATATTGAAGCTTTTTATTTTCTAAATTAACATAATGAACAGATTTAAAATTACTTGTTCCGCCTAGTGGTTACTTAAACTTTTAAGTATATTTTGATGTCAATATTTTTTCTTTTACTTTTACAGTATTTCTATACTGTTATTTTTTTATTTTTTTTATATAAATAACAAGATCAGTGTAGGTTTCTTCTTCTAACTCTGGTGATACGTTTATTTCTTTTTGCTTAATAGGCCTTTTTCACATAAGATGTTACCATGCCACTGTAAAAGAAGCACAAGTGTAGATGGATGTTTTTGCAGAGCAGACACAGACATTGGTTCCAGACCACACAATGATGAGTAAAGCCGGTGTAAACATTACTCTGACTGAAACAACCTCCGCAGCAGGAGATCCACCCCCCTCCCCAGGCTTCTGTCCTCTCAGCCAGCAGGCTCTCTGCTCCCCCCCGCCTCCCCCTCACCTCCACCTCTCATTACAAGCCCGCTTACTCCTCTACTCCTCCATCACTTCAACCATTAGAATAGGAGATTACATAGATATACATGCATACTTATGTATGCTAGGAACACAGACATGCATGTCATTTTTCAATTCACTAATTAGAACAAGTGACAATTGCATTGAAGACAAATTAAAGTGATCCTGGACAGAAACTGGTTTGTTTCCAAGGAGGTGACGCCCCCTGCGGCGTTTACCACAAGCAGCCACGATCCTGTAATGATGCCTGGGGATGGTCCGACCCCTGCCTCACCTTTTACCCTGGCCTGCCAGCTAACCATAATCCAGACCACTTAGGTGAGTTTGCATCAAAATATGATGACTTTTGTCTGATATGAGTTCAGTTTTAATGTGTTCTGTCCTCTCTTTTAGGGCCTCCGTGACGAAAGAACATCATCCTTTAATCCCACAAATAGGATGATTTCAAAACTGAATTCACTGAAATTGTAAGATTACAAAATGAATGACAAGATAGAAACATAATTTACAAACATTTTGAAATAAATATGAAATTACTTCACGTGTCATGCTTTATTTACATTATTTAGAGTCAAATTACATATGCTGTTGTTTCAGAGGCTTCATCAGTCCAACATATTATCCCCCTTCTCTGTCACCCCTGTGGCCATTTTCTCCTCAGTGAGTGGTTGAGGGGGGCATCATTAGGGGCCCCATGATGGAGAAGGCTGAATCTTTTCTCTCCTTAGTGAGCGTCTCCCTGGCCTCCTCGCCAGCATGAGGGATTTAGGGAGGAGGTGGGAGATGCCACAGGCAGCAGCGGGGTCAAAGCACACCGCTGAGAAAGAAATCTGTGGCCAGCAGTGGGCATCAGTCTGAAGGAAGCATCTAGAGAGCAGATGCATGGTGGGGGCACATTGTTTTTACTGTGTTTATATACATACTGGATATAATCAGCAAACCTACTATTTATTACATTCAAAGCACGGCTTTGGTTGACGTTGCAATGGTTTGAATCATGTAAGGATCAAAATTCAAGTTTACCTTAGAGGATTCAAGGTTTCAAAAGAGAGTAATCAGAATGTTCAAGAAACTATTAGTGAGGTCCAATTCAAAAAATCTTTTCATTTTGAAAACAGTAATACAATGATAACATGTAGAACATTTTGTAAGTATTAACACATTTTTAAAAACACAAGATTAAATGGATCTGAAATGGATGAAGAGGGGAACTGACAGTAAAACAGGGTAGCATTTGTGGCTTGTTTTTTTATCTGTATTGTTTGTTTTTTATTCTGATTGAATTGTTCTTATTTTGTTTTGAATACTTCATTTTTGTTTGATTTGGTTGAGTGTGGTCTTTCTGGGGAGGAGAGTTAGAATAGGTAGGTTTAACATTAGTGATTTGAATGTTATGATGTTCAAAATAAATCTGATTAATCTAATCTACAACTACTAGGGTAGTGTTTTATGTTCAAACTTCTTAAAGTAAAGTCCAACACCTTTTACGAGGGCCTTTACAGTCCATTAACACGTGTAGTAGAGAATTGCATCATTAGGGGGCAGTAGTTGTCAGTGCTTTGCTTGGTTATAGGAAATAATATCAGCAAGTTTGTACAGAGCTGACACTTGCTTAAACTAATTAAAAGAAAACAAGGTCCCCTGATTCACTTTTATCTAAAACACCACTTGACTGGCTGCTCACCACCTCCAACAGTCTCACAGTAATGAGCTGTTTTGAGGCATCAGTTTTCCTGCAGCCAACTCTCTGGTGTACTTTATGAGACAAGCTGTGGTTGCTAAGTGAACAGTGACACAAGTGTGAAGGGGTTATTTTTGGTCTAGACAACAAAACACAGAGGGTACTAAAGACTTCAGGCTCTGTTCTGTGATATGAGCTAGGCCTGTGGAAGTCTAAGTTTAATTACCATGTGTACAGTATATGCAAAGGCATTCAAAAGTTGATATCATGTTCTTTTCATTTTCTTTCACATGGCTTCCGAAGATGCTTGAATCCTTAACTGTATGAATTAGTCCTAAGAGGGAGACATACATATATGGTTGGCACACAGAGAGACTTTCAGTATCATTTTATTTAATGAGAAAATATTCGTCGTACTGAGTCCTTCCTCCACACAGGAGTTATTTACTGAATGCTGTTACAGGAAGAGGAGAGATTTAAATGTTTTCACTCAGTGTTGGTATGTTGGTGTTGTAGGTGCAGCAGCAAAAGGCGTGAAAACCACATCTTGAATTGATTAACAGCATTTAGCTTTACTCACCTCAGGGCATCACCTTTAAAAAAAGGGAAATGATGGCCTTAGATGGCGAGCTATTTATTTGAAAATTGGATAATGTATAAAATATGAACTTACCAAAATTACCAGCAACTAAAGCTGTCTAATATCAGTTAAATAACAAAAAGCATTTGACACAGATGACATTAAGTTGGAAAGGATTTATAAGTAATTTTGATAATTTGTATGACAAACATTAGAATAGAAAGAAGAAATGGCTTTTAAATCTTTTATTCATGTATAAAAGTGAATAAATGTTGACACAATTGAACAAAAGCAGCATGTTGAGGTTTGGTACAGCAGTGTGTCTGCGAGCCGGCAGTTATTTTCACCGTCACACCCTGTTGGCACACACGGGACAAACTTGCTCAGTGACTCCTGGACGATCCACAGCAGGAACCATGAGCAGCCGCTCTCTATCCTCCATCAGCCGTCTCAGCCACCTGAGGGGCTCCGATGGCAGTGAGGGTGATGATGTTTGGCACTCGGCATCACCATCACTCAGAGGCTCTGAAGAGTTGAAAGACCACCACTCTCTTCCAAACATGATTCTCATCTGCAGGAATCAGAAGCAGGCAGCAGAGGGCCTCTTCTGCTCACAGGTGAGCTAACGTAAAGGGGCTTCTACTGCTGCTGAGATTATATGTATTGTTAGATATTGTAGCTGGTGATGCAACAAATACACTTTTTTTATTTTATTTTACCTTTATTTAACCAGGATAGGTCTCATTGAGATTAAAAATCGCTTTCTCAAGAGAGTCCTTTTTAATACTGATGTTAGTTTCATTGCATGACAACAGTAGTTTTGCATTAGTATGTGACTTGAACTATGTGACTTGGGATAAAACCATATCAAAGAAAGTAGGCAGTCTATATATAACCAATAACAAAATCACAATATACGAGTTATATTACAATTAATATTTATTTTACAATTTGACAACAGATCACTTGTTGTGTATGAGGTAAAAAGTACACAGTAAGAGAAGTCTTTTTTTCTTTTGCTATAAATAGGTTGGAGCACAGAGAAGGAGCCGAGAGAAAGTGAAAATGCTGACAATTATCTGTGTGCTACTTGCCTTACTGGCTTTCACATTCCTCAGTAAGTGACATAAAGGTTGATCATGCATGTGCTGAATGAATGAAGTGTACAGCCAAATGTCCTAATGTACCAACATATAGTAGAGTTTGTGAAGGGGATCTTTTATTAGATAAATTAATTATTAATGCCACTGTTATATCCACATTTTCTCTCCCTTGCATTGTCATATTTCTACTTGTTTGTCTCTTTCTTTCTCAAGTGGGATCAGTGGGCCGAGAAGACAACAATACACAAGACTATGTAAGCCTACATTAACCCCATCCCTCTGTAAAACATCCACAACTTCCTGATACAAGACAAAAAGACTCTCTCTTGCTGTTTTTTAGGATGCTGATGTCTTCCTCCCGTCCAAAGCTCTGTGGCTGTTCGGCTGTCTGCTGTCCTGGACTCTTTGGTTACTCCTCCGTCTCCTCCAGATGTTCCTCTTGTTGATCAAAGGCCTGCTGTGGTTCATCTCTGTTACTGCGTCCCCGCTGTGTCGCTGCGCCTCCTTCCTCCTGTCCTGCGTTCTGCTGCTGCTGCATTACACATGTGAGGCTGTGTTTTATACAACCACCAGTCCTGTGTATGTGTATGGCATGCTTCTCAGTGTTGCCATTTCGCTGTACTTTTTCACCAGGTGAAAGCTGAAATCAATGTTTTAAAATCTGAAGTGGATCATCTTTATACATCATATATATGTAATTTATATACTATCATATGCATATATTTTTTTACATTTTTTCTGCTACTGCAAAATATTGTAGTACCATCTAAAATGTCTAACCTTTTAGATTGAGTATTCTTGTGGTTCATGTCCCTTCTACTGTAGTTATGTATGTAGACTTTTTGCTGTTTATTATTTTTATTTTATTCCACTTTATTTTATTATATTTATAAATGTATAAATATTTTAAAGATTGTAATGCCTGAACACACTGCTGCTACTGTAACTAAATCATTTCCCAATTTGGGATCAATAAATGACCTATCGATCTATCTATCTATCTCTCTATCTCTCGAATAGATAGCATGTGGTTGCTAATGTTAGCAAACATTGGAGAGGTTTTGCTGAGTCAAACAAACAGTGAGTCAGTTTGATAACTTGATGGCTCCTCTCACCTTGGGCTAGCCTCACACAACTTCAATAGGTTTAAGCAATTCAAATAATCGTCACTTGTGACCACAGTGGCATCTATTCAGAAAAAGCTACATTTGGAGACAGATAAATTAATAATGTAGGCTATATCAGTATATTAGGTAATACTTTACATACAAGAATATTCTTAATTATTTTACGTATTTACAAGATATATGCAATAACCTTTTTACCGCACAACTTCTTATCTAATGCACTTTAGATGTGTGTGTTTTTTTTATTCATGTGACTTAATGTAAATACACACTATTTATGATTACATAAATACGTTAAAACATCAACAATAATAATAGAAAGTAAGCAATATGCTAATATCTAATTTTCTGCTCTGTTTCTGACGGAAACAAAGACACCTCGTACATTTTAAAACTATAACAAAGGGTATTTAATATCACATTTTTAGAAATGTCCCAGAATGCATCACGCTGACATTGAGCCTCCTGTCTGCACCATGTTTTAAATGGAAATCATTAATCTGGCTTGCACATTAACACTGATTTTTAATTTAGTTCCGCCTCGGTTCAAAGTACAAAAGTGAATATATCATTGGAATATTTTATACATCTACTTCCTTCTTCATAAATCACTGCAGTGTTTCCTTATTTTCAGAGTCAAATCAGGACAAAGATTATAGGTTAGAAGATCTTATCAGTGCAGGTTTATAGACCAATAACAGTCTGAGATATACTGAATACTCATCGTGAATCCATCACTGCTTTGAGAGCTGCACGAGGAAACAACCAGGACCTTTATCAGGACCCAACTGAGCTGTTTATTCAACACTGATGACAAACAGAGGTACAGTGAGCCCGACCTGAAGAAAACCAGGCCAGGATAAGCAAACAGACTTCTATGGACGATGTCTAACAGAGTCGTCCACAAGAGGAGGGCGACCATCACAGATCTGCCTCTCTACTACTCCGGACACCTGAGGAAGAAACTCACCAAAGAGAAGGTGAGAGCGAGGGGGGGGGGGGATTCAGGCAGGCAAATGTGTGTGTGAGAAGAGAGGACTAATAAATGATAATGTTTTACATCTGTGTTAAATTCTGCTGCCGCATATTCAAAACGCTGTTTTTTGATTTTCAGGATTTCAAGAAATACTACGGAGAGCTCCGAGGAGCCACTCTGTTTCTGTACAAAGATGACACTCAGGATACAGTAAGCAAAATGTAGATTTGACAAGTGGAAGCAGAATCGTGATGTACATAACAACAATTAAATAAACAGTAGTTCATCAAACTGTGAATTTAACAATTATTAGAGAATAGATTGTTAAGGTTTACAATCAAATTCAAAGAAGGAGACACAGAGGCCAGGGTGCAAACATTAGTTTTTCTTATATTCACATCATAACTCACTCCTATTTTAGATCAATTTATTCATGTGTTGTTGATTATTATGTGTCTCACAACAAGTAATAGTTTGTGTACTTTGTCAGTACACAGAGAAGCTGGACCTGGGGCAGCTGAAGTCCATGCAGTTACATTCTCCGTATCAGAATAAGACCCCAACCATCTTCACACTCACGCTGCAGACAGAGGACGTGCAACTACAGGTGGGATTTTGTTATCTCCTTGCAAGTCAAAAACTCAATTGAATACATACAAACATTTCAATTAACAAAGAGATATGGACTGTGACATATTACCAAAATGTTGGCTGTTTGTGTGACTGTACAGATGGACAACTCTGACACAGGAGAGGAGTGGAGAGGCTACATCCTGACTGTGGTTAAAGTAAGAAAACATACAAACCTAACGACACACTCTGGTGGGTTTACATTCACAATTTGGCATCAATGAAGTATTTCTAATCTGATCTAATTGGACATAAATATTTAAAATATGAATACATATTAAGTAAATACTAGGAACACTCCCCCCTCAAGACTTATAGTGAGGGTAAGGATAAATAGAAGGAAGAAGCAATGTCTGCAGACCGAAAAATAAAAGTTATTGTTCTTACAGATAATCTCTGTTTCTCTGCAGAAAGAGATTCCCAGTAAACTGCAGCTGCTGCCTGGCCAGATGTTGCAGCTGCAGGATGCTCTGGATCAGGAGAGGCGAAGGAATCCCACCACGCAGCGGCCAGAACTTCCCCCCCGCCCACTCTTCCTCCGCACACCCTCCCCCTTCCAATCCCCCCCGGCATCTGCCTCCCCCTCCCCCTCCACCTCTGTCCCCCCCTCTGCTTCCCCCTCCTCCACACCGCCCAAAGACAAGACTGACAACAGCCCTGAGATTCCTGCGTAAGTTTCAGTCTTTCTCCAGAAACAGTTAGCAGTCCGCATGGGGACACAACAGTGAGACTCAGACTAGTGAATACGTATTAGTTCAAGTTCTTTAATAGACTTAGCCAAAAGTTACCACTTCAGCAGCACCACACTTTCTTTCCTATCTACATTTTTGAGTTTTTAACACAGGGGTATGTTTATATACCATTTATAGTGTCATTTATGGAACATTTTACTACTAAAAACAAGGCAAATAGTTGTTTTTTTATATAATTTATGGCTGTTGAAAGTATATTGTGATTAATGGAGTCATATAAAGAAATGTCCAAAAGTGAATATTTTTGAAACTTTGACTGTGATAATTCAACATAAATAACAAGTATGTATGTATGTAAATTAATTGTTTACCTAATTTGCATATTTATACATTGAATTTAGGAAAACTTGTATTACACATTTAAGGAATCATCTGGGGGAAGTTTGCTTGTTCAAACATTAAAATGTTGAACCTTTTTCACACGTTTTAAAACATATGCAACAGGGTTTGGTGCATTGTTGATGGCCCAGAGTAAATCCCTTCCTGTTACTGCTAATCTTAAACTGATAAACAACTTATCGTCCCTTGCCCTCTAATAGCTCACACGGGGACCTTTGTAACCTTCACTGGAAATAAGGAAGTGTGTATGTTTTTTTCTTTGGTATCGGCAGGTGTTTTTTCCATGTGTCTCGAAAAGAGGCTGAGCACATGTTGAAGGTGAACCCCGAGTGTGGAAGCATCATCCTCCGCCCGTCCACCCTGGCCAACAACTACGCCCTGACCCTCAGACAACAGACGCCCAGGTCCGAAATGTACCTCACACTACAGGAATATACAGGAATTTCCTCTATTCTATTCTCACAAAATGACTCAAATTATCACATTTTCTTTTCTCGACTTATGGAAAGCTTAAAAGAGAACATGAATATTTGGTTTTATATTTCGTATAACAGTACTGTATCACTTGTATTATGCTTGTGTGAGTCAAATTACATATGTACAGGAAGAGAAGTGTCTACCAGGAAATAATTACAACTCAACTTTACAACATTGTAAAATAAGTCTTAATTACGTGTTTTTCTACACAACTAAATGTTACTAGAATCAACAGTGTCTTCTTAACAAAGACCCGCAATAGCATATGGATCTTTCTCACTACTTTTATGTTATTATCATGATAATATTTAACCATGAGATGCTACAGCTGATAAAAGGATGAATACATGTACAAGTGGTTGTTGATTTTGTCATGTTCTCTGCGTAAGCCTGAAGGGAGGTCCTGTACGATGTCTGTTCGCAGAAACAGACCCTTTAGCATTATTATTTGTGTGATAAACTGTCTATGGCTGCTGACCTTTCACTCAGTGATCAGCAGCTGCGTCATTAGCCAAAGGCATTTACAACAATCAGCTCAAATCAAGCCTTTCATAATGCCTTTCAGGCCACATTTTAGCTTTTAAACGTACAACCATAGAAAGTTTGGTCTTGTGTTGAACCTGGATCATCTGCAGATTAATAATGCCATACCTGATTTGTTAGGCACAATATGAGATGAATGAATCCCTGTTTTTGTCATATTTGCTGCCAAATATACAAAGAATCCATGTGTTGTTGTTTATTAAAGGCACCATTAAGCAAATGCTCCTCCACTTGTTGTCTTTCAGTGGACCCATCCTGAAGAACTTCAGAGTGACCTCCACAAACGTGGGGTTTGTCATTGAACTGGACACAGCAGTAAGTACCAAACTTTATAAAATTACGTTTTTCTTTTTCGTGGCTTGTCTTCATGTGTCCTCTCCTCTGTAGGTGACAGTCTCCTCCTTGAATGAGGTTCTGAAATACTTCCTTGAAAAGACAGAGTACCGGCTTCACCCCTTCATGGCATCTCAGCCCTACGACACTCTCATCGGTGAGTGGAACTCTGCTGTGAGAAGACTTCAGTGACAAGTACACAACCCCTAACGGTGTTTATCTGTGTTCAACAGACATGTCTCCTGTCCCAAAGTGTGTCAGCATCTCCTCAGCTATACTTAAAACAGTACCCAAAGCACAAGTGGCCCCTATGCTGCGTTCAGAGACCAAAGAAGAACTTCCGCCACCTCCAACAAACCAAGACGGGGGAGATTACGTGATGCCAGATGATCATGATCCCAACCTAAAGTCAGGTGAGAATGAATGAATATTGGTTTTAACATTAGTAATATAAAAGCACTTAAAGTGTACATATGACCAAGAAATGCAGTCTAAATCCCACAACAGGTGAGCTGGTAGCACTATAGGAACGCCTTTGGCATACACTTCCACATTGATGATTAACTAATTCTTGGAGTCAAATTGTAAAAGTCATGTCACTCTGACCTCCCATCCGTCCCTTTCTTGTGAATGAGACATCTCAGGAACGGTTTGAATTTCTGTTGAATCCTGTTAGACTCAAGGATGAACTGCTTAGGATTTTTTGGTCAAAAGTCAAAATCACTCTGACCTCAAAAACACATTTTTGGCCATAACTCAGAATTCATCAGCTTATTTAGACAGTTTCAAGTAAATGTCTTATAGGATAAAATGATGAAGTGATGACTTCATCAGACATGGATGTAAACAAGACTGTTATTCCTGTTACTTTATATTTGTGATTTTCTTTTCTACGCTGTATATGGAAATGTTTTTTATAGCTTGAAAAGTGGTAAAACATTTTTTTGTAATGTTTTCTATCTAAAACAGTTCAGATGGGTAGAGAGCTGGAGGCGGTTTTAAAGTTACGGAGAGAAAACCTGTACACTGAGACTGAGGAAGTCAACACGTTCGAGAATCAGAGCAGTGAGAAACCTCCGTCAGCCACTGTGCAGTGGAGCGGAAACAGTTCAACCTCCTGAGGAATGTAGTCCGCTCGGCTCATAAACCTCATAAAATGCTCATTTAATGTTTAACCTGTAACGTCAGCTGGGAGAATGCACGCTCCTGCCACCTTTAGTCACTTTCAGAAATTGTACCATACAAAATAAAAAATTACAGAAGTTCTCAATCTCTTAACGCACGGGTCTCAAACTCAAATGTTGGCACTAAACACGCAAGTACAACATTGGCCGATGGGAATTACATTAGTTTTGCTTTGGTCATAAGTAAAAGTGGTAATAGTAGTTTCTAAAACATGTGATTGCGCTATATAGAAACAGGGAAACAACATTATTACAACTTGTGCTTTGGAGTAGATGAACATACCAAATGTTTTATAGATAGATACTTTTTTATCATCTCTCCAGTATTGTAGAGATATTGCAATACAAACATTTTAAACCAATCCAAATGATTTGTTTATTTGTTATCCAAATGTCTGGATAACAAATAAACAAATCATTCTAAACACATGTATTTTGAATCTGGACCTCGAGCCATTCGTTTGAGACCCCCGCTGTTTCAGTACAGTAGTTGCGTATATGCGAGAAAATAGCAAACAGATTTGTAAAGATGAGAATAGGAGTTCAAGGCTAACGATTAATTGTTATATTTATTATTAACAACTCAAATCAATCGATCAGTTACATGTGATACGGATGTTTTTTTGTCTCACAGTTTGGAAGGTTATCATGCTTTCTTTTTTGCTCATTAATTGTGTTTGAAAAGTGTAAAAATGAACATTACATCAAAATTGCATGAGACAATACTTGTACAGATCAGAACGATTGTACATCTTTTATATGAAAGAATGATCAAACTGTAAAATACAAAACTGCACATACCGGTGAATCTTACGTTTCTTTCTTTTGTTCAAAAGCACAGAATTAAAAAAAACATGATCCAGGATGATCATTATTCTTTATTTGTCCACACATAGGAGTAAGCCAACATAACTGTTTTGAATAATATAATCATATATTTGTATAAGTTATTCCATTTAGATTGAGATTCTTATTTTTAATAATTATCATGGAACATGTTATAGTTTAAAGTCTTAAAGGAAGCATTCATCACTGAGTAAAGACAGCAAGACTGTGAAAAATATTCAATAACAAAAGAAAGGAAACTCCCTTTTGTCTCCTCTTTCACTGCAGTGTGTTTCAGAGAATCCACCTCTCCTCATTCATCTCACACGTCTCACACTATCGCAGCAGCCTCCGTGTGAGAAAGACACATCAAATATCTGTAATAACTTAACATCTTAGGATTTAAAAGATAAAAACTGAATAAATAAAGAAGATTGTTCCCCAATGAAGAAACGCCTCCATTGTTGTTGTTGTTGTTGTTGTTGTTGTGACATTACTTCTCGGTGAGTGACAGCTGCAGGATCCTCTCCAGCTCAGTCTCCTCCTCCTTCTGCTCCCTGTGACACAAATAAGAAAAATATATACTTGTGGTTATACTTATGTGTCACTCCCATGTACTTTTACTAGTCTTTTGTCGCTCCTGCCAACGTTTTGCACATGTTTGACTTGTATTTTATCATTATTTTATTTTACAATCTGCCTAAATTATATTTTATAAAATAGTTTTATTCAAATTCATTATTTTAAGCTGACGCAACTGCAATTATGTTCTGCTTGTATAATGGCAATATGGCCACTGGCTACACCGTAACCGTCAACATTTCGGTTGTTGCTGCTGAGATCGGGTTTCAGTAAACAGACACAAGAACAGATGGTTGTAAACATTGGGTTTCAAGAGAAAAAGGAGTAGATGTTTTAAAAGAACTCCCTGTAGATACAACAGTCTCAGTTTAAAACTTAAAAATGAACTCTGGTCACAGATTAAAAGTGTGCTAAGGCAAAACTATCATGAATGTAGAAGGGTGGGGTCAAAATATCCATGAAGGTGTTTTTAAATGTTAAGTTTATAAAACATCTAAAGTGTACTTTCTTCAAGCAGACAGTAATAAGTCAGCCAAGGCTGTGTTCACGTATGAGCGTCAAACAGCAATAACAAAAGGACTGTTCCCACTATACAACCTTGTCTTAACAATATTTGTTACTATTTTGCCATCTCTGTATTAATGTGCACAACTTTGAACATGGGACAGATGAAAAGAACAGATTTGGACACCCCGCTGAGTCGCAGACGCTGTTTGCCACCATATGAGCCAAGGTGGGAGTCTGAGATGGAAGAGCAGATTGCTGCACTCTCTATGTGGGAACACTCGTTTGTAGTTAGTTTTCAGAGTGGCTTTGATTAGTTTTACAGTCGTTTTAGTTGCTTTTCAGTTATGGTATTGTATAATGTCTCAAAGAATGAAAATACACATAGACAAAAAATATACTCATTGGACATCTGAACGACTTTTACATCATGTTTGTGCATATACAAGACCAGACTGCATGTGAACTAAAAGGAATGAACTGGGAAACAATTGTGACACATGCTGATCTCCTGAAATGTCTGTTCAGCTTCTGTTATTCAACAGGCAAGGTGACAGATATTCATGCTTACTCATGTTTCAGTAGTGATTATAGCTTTAAAAACTTAAACAAATATTACATTTATGTTTATTTTAAATTGGTTTATATCTCTTCACCCTTCAATAAAGGGAACTTCCACACCACCACTATGTGCAATATAAATACCATTGCCATCATTACAAAACACTCTCTGCTATATAACATGTGCAATATTACTATTATTATTAGTAATAATGTTCGATAAATAACGTGCAATTACGTAACGACCACTACGGTCTTTGCACTACTAAATGCTGTTAATATTTACATTAATTATGTGACCATTTATGTTTCCTGTAGTTATTGAATTGCTATTTTTACTGCACTGTTAGTGTACAGTTTTATTATTATTATTATTCTGCTGTGTTTATTGTATTTTTGTAACTCTGGCAGAACAATTTCCTTCGGGATGAATAAAGTCCTATCATATCTGTTCTTATCGTATCTTAACACGGATATATTGTTGTAGTTTTTCTTAAAAGACATTGTTTGTATCTATTTGGTTTACGAAGAAAAACTGCTTATTTGTGTTACCCCGGTCCACATACTGTACACGCTAGTCCTGTGATGGACCGGTAAATGTCCAGCATGAAGGTGTGCTTTATCTCAGGTAATATGATGCACATGCCCTTCTCTTTGTTTCCCTCCTGCCTCACCTGTCTATCTCCTCCTGTTCCCGGCACGATATCTCCATGGCGAGGCGCAGCTGCTCGTCGAAGCTGGTTGCCATGCCGAAGTGTCCGGACAGCCGTGGGTTGGTCACTGCGCTGTAGGAGAGGGGGGAGTCGGCGGGGGGGTCGGACGGGGAGACGGAGGGGGGCTGGCTGGGCTCTGCCGTGTCCTCTCCCTCTCTGCTGGACAGTGAGATGGACAGAGACTCCTGGATCGCCCTGAGAAAAGAAATAAAGATATAAAGACTTGAACTGAAGTGTAATTAAACAAGGAACAAAGATATCTTAACAGGGAAGGTTCACTGCGGAGCTCCATTACAGTATGAATGGGAGGTACGGTTCCCAAGAGAAGGAGGAAGAAAGAATTAATCACCGACCTCTATTTAGAGACGTTTAATTAAATGACTCCACCAGCAAGGGGCTTCCAATAATACGAAGGAATTATGAACAGACATGAGTTCAGTAACAAATACAAATGTTCATATTTACACTTAAAGACCAAAGAAAGTAGATATCTGTACTGAGCTGATAAATTAAGTTACCTGGATTATAGCACAGACTCTGTTGAATAATTAACACCTATCCACATATTCACTAGCTATCAATCATTTGAAAAAAGTCTAAATATCTTTTCATTGTTTTTGTGCTTGAGGCATACAAAATGAATCGTGGCTATATCAAATGATAGAGTTGAATTCTCAGCTCACCTCTCCAGCTGAGAGTCGCCTTCGTACAGCGGAGACGGGGGCACAGGGCGGCTGTTGGTCAGGGCCTCCCAGATGGTCACCTAAGAAGCACACTTAGATACTGAAAAACTGCCTTTAAATATAAAAAGGGAAGAATCAATCCCCCGTCACACACGTAACTCTGAGTCTGATCATTCTAACCTGGTCGCTCTCTGTGCCGGCGTCCAGCAGGCTCTGCTGGATGGCAAACTGCAGCAGGTTATCATCCTCGTCCCTCATTGGCTCGCTGCGGCCGGGACCAAGAGTAGCGTAGTCTGCGGGGGGCTCAAACACTGAGGGGTCCACCTCGCATTGGAAGGGAGGGGTAGCCTGACCTGGGGGAAGACGGGTTACAACATCACTGCACGTGCAAGTACAAATATGTCCAATTTATAAAAGTACTTTCAAGCCTGTGCTATGTTTTGGAAACAACTACAACCTTATTTTTTTAAGTCGTTTATTTGCAAAAAACGAAGAAAAAGAAAGTCATCGTTTTTTTAATGAGATCATAACTAGTGTGTATTTACCAGCTTCTTCAGGGGCCTCCGGTGTGTGAAGCGTCACAGAGCTGACCGGCTCGTCGCAGCCACACAGGTTACTGAACGTCACTCTGGCATTCAACACGTGAAACAGGGGAATCTCTGGAGGACAGACAGAAATCGACGAAAGATTTCAATGGCTGATTATTCCAGTAGCACAAGAGGGGAGTGAAAATAAAAACACACAGTTATAATCATGAATGAGGAGGCGTCAGATGGCACACACAAAAGCATGAACCACGCTAAGAAATGAGTCCAGAATTAAGATCTAGTTCTCACCATTTTAGTTCTCACGTGTCGAGAGCTACACCTGGAACAGCGCTGTCCAAAGTGTGGAGATAAGGCTGGCTATGCGAAACTACATATACTTAAATAGGAGACTGCTCAGACTAACTGGAGCATCACAAAGAAGCACGAAGAGGCCAGAGACAGGCAGCAAGGGAAAACAGTATTTATAGCTAGCATATGTTTGTATTGAATTTGGTGAATTATGTATTTTTTTGTTTATTTTGCAAGTTCTGTCTACTTGATGAGTTAACAAGATAATAAAGACCATCCTAGTTCTGTGAAAGAGAAAAACGTTAATTCAGAAGATTAATTTAATTGTTCTGATTTCTGTGAATAAATATTCTCTTTTGATAATTTGTGAGTTTATTTTATTTATTTATTTCACTTAAAAATCGAAGAGAGCTTAAGAAATGCAACAAACTTAGCGTTCAAACACATCTCCTAACCCTACTGTGTGACCTCTCATACCCACCTATCTTGACAGGGAAGCCTGGCGGCAGGCGCAGGGTGATGAAGTCACGGAGTTTGGCGAAGTGGGCGTTGGAGATGGCCATGAGGTCGATGATGGGTGTCACCTGCTCGGCCAGGGACAGAGGGTGACTCTCACTCAGCC